GCTATATTATGTCCCCTGGTCTAGCCTGACAACTAATTCAATCTCATGCCTGCACTGGGTTTCGGATGCTACCTGGTACCATCCAACTTGAAATAATATTCCTTAATCTGTGAGATAGTAAAATAATGGGAGATTAGAAAAAACAAACAAACAAAACAAAACAAAACAAAAACGAAAACAAAAAACTAACCACTACATAAATTGTAGGTTATATTTGTGAGAGCCAAAGCTCTAAAATGCATCAGCAGATAAAAGTAGTTTGCAATTGCAATTCTGAATGAACAATTATTCTAAGTTACATGGTTCAACTACATCGTGTTATACTGCAATCAAAAGAAATCCAGGTGTCCTCAAAGTGAAGAAGGCAATAAAGAGTAAGACCAGTTTCTATATTCTAAATACTATGACTTGGGTTAGCCAGCTCCCTCCCAGGCTCCTAAACTCGATGCTTGACTTCAGAGGTGTTTTACACATCCATGAAGACCACTTCTTCTAACTACAGTATCCCCTTTCCTACCTACGTTAGACAGTGCAAATATAAATTGTTTCCAAACAAGTATTTTCAGAGTTTAGTCTTGCAGTGTATGTACAGTTGGACTGGTGTTTCTATTCCAGTCAGATACATTCTTCTGAGGGAATTCACTGATTTCTGGGCACGGATGAACAGCTCACCTTCTGGAAGGAAATTCTACTCCAAGGAACTCACCTAGAGATACAACAACGTTTCTCTACTTACTGAGTTTATCCAATGCTTCTTTCAATCGTCACTTCCAAGGGTTACTAAAAACAAAATACTTCCTCTCTTTTTGCCATTGAAGTTCCAAAATTTGGGGAGGACTTTCTCAGATAATTTGCCATACCCCAGATTATTTACACACCTCTGAAATGACAATGATGATATATTTTCTATTTTTGATGCTATTTACGTTTTAAGAACATACAGGGTAGGAGTAGTGGTGAGTGTGAAACCTAGAGCCTAGTCTTGTATTATTATTTATTCATTGTTGCATTATTTTTATATGAACTGTAAACTGACGTTTGCCCCACCCTGTATGAAGGTACTCGAAGAATTACCCAGTCAACATGTGCTTGAATAGGTATTGCTGTGAAGGCAATGCACACTTATTTTGATCTCTTTATTCAATGATTAGTCCCCAACTCGGAGGTCAGAAGTGTTGACTGTCTTGCTTAGAGGTATGAATGCAGTATTTCGCACAAGGTCCATCTCAGTAATAGTGAATACTCAACAAATATTGAAGATATACATGACTGATGAATATATTGATGAACAAGGTCCATCTCAGTAATAGTGAATACTCAACAAATATTGAAGATATACATGACTGATGAATATATTGATAATGAAGCAATCACTCACTCCCAATTATGAGGTCATGTCAACATTCAACATGCCCATCCTCCTTCCCCACCATGCTTTTTTTTAAAAAATATATTTTATTGATTTTTCTTTTTTCTTTTTTTAGAGAGGGATGGAGGGAGAGAGAGAAACATCAGTGTGAGAGAGAAACCTCTATCAGCTGCCTCCTACACGCCCCCTACTGGGGGTTGAGCTGGCAAGCAACTTGGTATGTGCCCTGACCAGGAATCAAACCAGGACCTCTCAGTCCTTGCGACGCCACTCAATCCACTGAGCCACACCAGCTGGGAGCCACCATGCTTTTGTTTTCTGTGTGTGTGCCATTGGGTCACTTGGTTTTTCTATTCTCAAGCTTTGACTGACCTTATACCCAACTAAAGAAACCTATCTCAGATCCTCATATGTTCTCTTCAGTTATTTGCAAATACAATATAATGCATGTGCAATGAATTCACTCTCTGGAACAAGACAGTCATGCTTACCATATCTACTGGACACCTGGCGGGACTATTGTGAGGCCACTGTTTGGAGTATCAGTTTTATAGGACCTTGAAGGTTGACCAGGTCAAACCTAGTAGTTCCTATCTTCTCACCAACAGATGGAGTTATGATTGAAGTAAAAAATGAAGTTTCTTTACTTCAATGTGTGATGATGAAAATGGTGAACTGGATAGGGAGAATGTAGCCTTAGAATGTAAGAAAAATTAGATCTTGCAGCTATTAAAGTCCTATTTCTAGAAATATATTGTAAATCCCAGTGTCTGTATCCAATGAACACAATTCAAAGCAAAGGTAATCACAGTACAAAGAATGTGACCACTAACTTTTAAACCTGGCAAAAAGCACTAAGAACAGATAAAGGCCAGTTTTCAGGGCACACAGCACAAAGGAAGACAATACTATGTACACAGTGGAGCTGGTTACATGTGTCCCTAAAACCAGGTTTGGTTTCATTTGTTTTTACTCATTAAGAGAAATGGTTACAAAATGGTGAGAATACTTTCTGAAGGAGAAAAACGAAACAAAAAGCAAAAACTCAGGTATGTCATCACCATTTTTTTTTCTTTTTTCTTTTTAGCTAGAGAGGAATGGAGGAGGGAGGGGGATAGAGAGAGAGAGAAACATCCACATCGATGCGAGAGAGACAACCCCTACTCTGGGTTGAACCTGCATACCAGGTACATGCCCTTGACCAGGACTCGAACCCAAGACCCTTTGGTCCGTGGGCTGACGCTCTACCCACTGAGGCAAACCAGCCAGGGCAGGTGTGCCATCTTCTGTTCCACACAATGAAATAGAGAACTACCCTCAGCTCCTTTTGCTAAGCAACAAAATCATCTCAAATCCGCTTGAGATGCCAACTGAATGGCATCCATTGTGAGACTGCAATAGTAATACTTCCCATTGTTTCCTCCTTTATTCTTTTATTAAAAACAAACAAACAAACAAAAAAACAGAAAAAACAAACAAGCAAAAACAAAAAAACAAAAAAACCCAAAACTTTAGTGCCATGTCCGTGGAGGTTACTGCAATGCTTAGAAACAGACATAGTGAAAGGATTCTTCTGAAAAGTTGTGCTCTCTCTCAATAATTTTCCCCCCATAACTGGTTTCTTTGAGGTCTTACAAATGGTTGATGGCAGTTGTCTACCAGAGCGCTTTGGAAAGTGTTCACTGACTTTTGACAGTCTGTGGGAATTCTAACCTGAGGAGGGGGCCAGGGGACATTTAATAACCCAGGGGAACGTGTTTACTGCATTTCTGTATGAGGCGGGTTGCAGAGCACCAGGATGTGGTGTTTTCTGTTAGTCATCTGTGTGTTTCTTCATTTTCCAGATTGTATCCAATCTGCAGTTCTTCCTAGAACGAATCCCTTTAAATCAATAAGGAACAAACCTCGAATAAAGAATGCTGAATCAGGCCCATTACCACTACAGTACACGACGCAGTGAACACACGGACTGTCTACAGTGGACCTTTCTGAGCCCTAGCCATAACGTTCCACTCCGAGTCTGTTCCAGGAGTAGGCAAGTCTCCATAAAATTTCTATTTACCTTGAGAGGCAAATGCTTGCTCATTGCATAATATTGAAAGACACGGTCCTTCCCACTTAACCCTCCCTAAACACCTTTAGCTAGTTAGGAGGCCAGTGATTAACTGTGTTAGCCAAGTTAGGGAAAGGATGGGGTCTTCGGAGAGATAAGCATCTGAGTACTTTGTGCAGCCTGGATGGAAGGAAACCCTATGGAGGCTGGAGTGTGGACAGGTGCGATCTAGGGAAAAGAGCCTGAGATTTATTATGGAAAATATCTAAATGTGAAGAGGAAATCTGGGTCTCTCTAGATCTTCATAAGCCTTGGCACTTGTCATGCATCAGAGACCCCGAAGCAAGGGTCCGTGTGCCTGCTGGTTTATTCGGGGTTGTGTGTTTACCTGGGTGTAGTTTTCCCGGCAGCAGCGGCCAGCCGGGGGGGGAGGGGGGGTCCGTGTGCATAGCCCGAGTGTGGATTAATTACGGGTTGAAAACATCTGCATTAGGGGCGGCTGCAGTCCCCGCTGCCCCAGCCAGGGGGTTCGGCCCGGTCCCTTGGTGTTAGGACCACTCGGAAGACCTGCCTGTCGAACGGCGGATTGTGGATCCCGGGGGGCCAGAGCTTGGGGAGCCTGTACCACCTCTACGTGAAGGGGAGGAGAGAAGGCAAAGGGATTCTGCTTCCCGGGGCTGGGTGGGTGGGGTGGGCGGCCGGGGAGCCGCGACTGTCCAGCGAATTCCCAACTTCAGGGCCGCCTCCCACCCGGGGAGGGCGCGCCTCCTACCTGGGCCCCCGCCTGGCCGCGGGGCGCCGGCCCGTCGGTGCGGGTCCCGTCTGCGGGCCGGGTGGCGCGGCTGGGCAGAGGGCTCGGCCGAAGGCGGGGGCGGGGGGCGGAGGAGCGGGGGGCGGAGGAGCGGGAGGGGGCGGAGCCGGGGAGGAGACTGGAGCGGGAGGAGGGGCCCCGCCCGGCCTGCCGCCGGGTTTGCAGGCGCTGCTGGCGGCGGCGTCTCCTGCCTCCGCCCGCCGCTCGCTGCTCCGCCGGGAGATGCTGCCCCGCGCCGCGCCGCGCCGCGCTGAGGCCGTGCGTGCGCCGCGCCGCCGGCTGCGTCCCCGGCCCCGTCCCCGGCCCCGGCGCTCCAAGTGACCGAGCTGCCAGGCGCTGCCACGGAGCCCGCTGCCCGCGGCCAGGGGCGCGGGCTCGCAGTGCGCTCGCAGCAGCCCCCGTGCCGCGCGCACCCTTTCTTCAGCCTCCGGAGCTCTCCGGGCTTGCCCCCGTCCTCGGGTCACCCCCCGGAGCAGAGGGCGGGGTAGGCGGCCCCCCTCGCCCCCCTTCTTTCCCGGGGTGAATTCCCTGCCCCTGGCATTTCCCGGGCGCGCCGCGCAGAGGCCAGCCCGCGCGCAGGGGCAGGGACGCGGCGCCCGCTGCTCGGAGCCCGGCGGGACTGGGGCCGGCGCGCGGAGGGGCCGACAGCGGCGCAGGGCCGGGCGGGCGCTGGGGCTGAGCACAGCCCGCCGCCCCGAGAGCCCCCGAAGAGGCGGACGGCGCCCTCCGCAGCGAGCCCGGGAGCACCGCGAGCCGGGAGGCGAAGGATGCCGGCGGCGCGGCGAGCCGGCTGCGGGGCAGCGCTGTGGCTCTGGCTCGGCAGCAGCGTCCTCTGCAGAGCCTGGACGGCCCCCTCCGCGTCCCGTAAGTACCCGCCCCGGGCTCGCCGTGCCGCATTGGGTGCCCCCCCGGCGGCCCGTGCCGAGGTGCGGCGCTCGCCCCGCGTTGTGTGCGTGTCCCCGCCGCCACGCACTCGCGGCCACCGCAGCGGGCCAAGTCCGGACCCGCGCTCCTGGCCGCGGGGCAGGGGGTTTGGACGCTCGTGATGTTTCTGGAAAGTTGTGCCCGGTCGTGGAGATGGCTTGGCGGCTGCTTGGCCAGCGCGATTCGTGTGGGGGGCGGCTTCTGGGGAGTTAGCCCTCCGCTTCGGGGGGTGTGTGTGCAGGGGAAGTTGAGAGCATTTTGCTTAGGGAGGTAGGTAGGTGGGTCAGTGACCGAAAAGTGACGACTGTGGCAGAAATAAGTTTCTTATTTTTATTTATGGTTTCAACTTAAATGAGCATGATATTTGGGGGATAAAAGAGGCGTATAATATAAGCAGTTTGAGCGCCTGTGGATTTGTCTTTAAACCCCCCACTCACCCCAACAAGTTAATGCCCTTTTAGTACTTGCTTATTAAAATGGAGACAGTGGATCCAGTATTGTCGCTGAAATGGCTTATATCCCTTGGCCGTTTGAGCTAAAGCATCTCAGACTTGGGACAGTCCGTGCAAAACGTCAGTGATGTAGTGATGAACAGATTCCGAGTTCTCAGGAAGATGCTGCTGTTCCGCGTGTTTATCTTAAAAGAATGCTCCTGTTCCTATTAGGTTAGAAAGACATGGAAGATTTCGGCCCTCCCCCTGCCTTGCTTTGGAAGTGCGTAGTGTGCATCTAGGGAGAGGTTGCTGGATGGCTTCTTGGTTCAGAAAGGGTTAAACTCTACTAAGATCGCTCAGAGCAATCTTAGAGTCCTGTTCCTGAGCCCAGATTTGGTTCCAAGAACAAGTCAAGTGTTACACGCCAATCATGAAGATTTCAAAGTTTAAAAATACGTGTTGTCCATTTAGGAAAATAAAGTTTCGTGTGTTTCAGAATTCCTCCTATGGGAGGTAGTCCTGTCTGTGTTTATAAGATCTTGGGATGTATTCATCCATCCGTGTCTCTGTGTTAATATCAATGTTCTTCTTGCGGTGTGTGCCTGTGAGTAAGTATTGAAAAGCACAGTATAAGGCGTGGTAAAGAATCTACTACATAATTACATCATGTGATGATGAACCAGTCTTAGCTTTGAGCTGTTTTCCCAGACATAATATTTGCTTCGCATTCTTTGCACTTGAAGATAGGAAAGTCACTGAATGGCAAAGTTTGTCATGCACTTGAAAAACATTATAGAGTTTTTATTTTTATATTTTTTCACAAAACAGATTAAACCTAAAAAGTGATGTTATTCATATTCGATGTGCATTCTAATGGATTGAAACGGAATTTGTGATGATATAATGCTCGGCATTCATATTTCCATAGGTATTTAACGATCTCCTGAAGAAATTATTTTGATGAGATTTCAGTTTCTATTTCAAGGTCTGTGGATATAAAACTAACGGCCACTTTTGTGAGAAAATAAACTTGGTATCAACTAAGTTTATTATATACACTGAATGAAGGCACTCCGCTCCCGGGTTGTCCCTGGGTTTTGAATTTCATCTGAACACTGTAGTTATAATGGAGCGAGGTGAGACACTTGCCATCTCAGGCCTGGTGCACCTGCGGGCGTTGGGTTGATGTAGTTTAAGAATGGAAAAGGTATTTCAGAAATATATTCTTAGTTTTACCAACTTGGACATTGGAGATGAGGAAGAGCAGAGACTATTACTTTTAAGATAATTAATAGTTATGTTGATTGCTCAAATATATTTACTTAGCTCTTATATTCCATTGCTTAAGAATGTATAATGGCCTAATTGAGATGACTTTTTATGTCATTGGAATTTAAATTGTGTGACCAAAACCCCAAATTGCACCAAATCCTGGAAAAGAATTAAATAATAAGCATGACATAGACTTTAATGATCAGAATGAGTGTCCTGTAGCCAGTACTTTACTTTTACATTTTACACTTCATGAAAAGTTTTATTTATATTATATACAGCTCTGAAGAAGAATGAGAGTTATATTCTTAATACTAAAAACATTCAAAGGAGAAAAAGTGGTAACCACACGAATCTAAGATAATGAACAACTCAACCAGGAGAGGTCATCACAAGACAAAAAGTAGCATGAAAATCTGAGAGTCACATTTTTATTTGGTACACATTTTAAAATATGATGATGATGCTAAAGCTATCTGTTTCCAAATAACTTTTCAACATGCTGGACATTTTTCGAAGGTACAGTTATTTTTTTTTTCTATTTCAATGCCGTTTCAAATATATATTTGCTTTTGGCTTATTTATTTTTCTCTATTATTGAAATTTGTATAAAAGGGAATAACGGTTGGTACTATGTTTTTACAGTAAGTCTAAAATAACTTTAAATAAAGTCATCTCTAGGATTAAGTAGAGAGAGTGTCATTTCCTGACAGATAATGAAAATAAACACCTGCTGAACTGTTGGGATAACATAACCACCCTTCTTATAAATATGTATATGTAAAGGTTAAGTAGAATATTTTCTCTTACGGAGTTGCATCTACATGAATATATTTGAAAGATCCCAATAGTGCAGTTCTAAATGATGAGGGGTTTGAGGCAGCATTTGATGAATTCAGTTTATTCTCAAAGTATACAGAATTCTGGCTTAAATAGTGCTTTCAGGTGAAGGTCATTTTACATTATTTTGTATACCCATTAACATATAATTTCACTATTACACTTGCAAAATGTGTCTTTGATTGATCACATACTTTCTAACAAATATGTTTTTACATATACAGGCATATATATATAAACATGTATGTGTGTATGTGTATATATACATATATATCGTAATTTCCTTTAAATGCATGCTATGTAATATATAGAAACATAATATTATTTAATGAAGGATTATATTATATATTTATACAATGTAAATTATATATGTATATATATGTGTGTATATATGTGTGTGTGTATATATATATTTTAGCATGTCTTTCGAGGAGTCTAACTTGACTACAAGTTTATAGCTAGGTCTTTTCATGAGCTCTTATTAGAAGTAATGTAACAATGGTGTATTGGTTCATTTTCTCTGTCTTCAATTCATATACCATTCTACAGATGGTATCTTTCAAATAGTGGAATTAAGTATAAAATATACAATAACTATAAAAGCAAATACTATTGGTTTATATCAAGCTTCAACATAGTCTTGAAAAAATTAATTTATTTCACTTGAACTTAAATTGTGATAATTAAATAAAAATTGTCATAATAAAATGAATTTAAATCAAACAGGGCATTAGACCAGCAAAATTTATTGGTTGATAAGAGGTAGTATGTTATTTACTTAATGTAAACAAATAAGCAGAATATTGTTATTTACTTATCAGAGAGAAATATATAATCTTGATTTCATTATCAGCATAGATATTCAGGAAACAGGAATCTTTGTTTACTATTACAGTTTTACACGTTTAATAGTAAGCTGTGACAAAATTGGGGAAAAAAGGAATTCGCAATTCAATATAGGTTTTTATTAACCTTCATACCATTTTAAACAGACAACATATTCTCGTTAGATGACAAGTAACATCAAAGTTGTCTGATGCCCATCATATTTCAAAAATCACATTTCTAATTTATTTTTTCTGTTTTAATTGGTAGGATGTTTGAACTTCTCTAACTTATCTGAGGTTTTAAATCACTTGTTTTAATTAGTAGATTCTTCCAGAGAAAATCTTAACAAGTCTTTAAGGGTGAACCAGTAAGTCTTCATTTCTGCTGTGTTGTTTTTTATGATTGAAACATAAAAGGAGTTTGCAGCAGTTCCCCCTCATCTTGCTCCTCTTTTTAAGAGTAGATATTAATTTGGTGTAAATGCTCTGCAGGGTAGGGAGAGATTACAGGCTCAGAAATTCTTAGTTCTTCTAGTGTGTGATTTTCTTTAGAATATTGAACATATGGAGAACCAACTTCTTCATGTTGTCTCTGCAGTGATGTTAACAGGTTGAAGAAATAAAACACGTAATTTCAAAAATGTCCCATATGTAATTGATTAGAGAAGTACTTTATCATTTATTGCTACTCGCGAAGTTCAACGACGGAATACGTAACAATTTCAACATCCACACTGCAACGTCATGGAACTAAAACGAACGCTATACTTGTATTTACATTGATAGAGCTAGCTGACATCGAATGTTATCAGTGCTTCTAGAGAAATATATTTTAAGATCAGTAGCTATTAGAAACACAAGGTATATTCCTATGTTTGGAAGAAATATATGGGATTAATTTTGCCATTTTAATGAGTAAGAATAGTGGTGGGATGATCTTTATATAACCTTTAATTTTTCAAGTGAGAAACTTAGAAGAGGATACTTCTCAGCAGTGATCCCTGAATACAATGGGTCTTCCTGTCTCCTGGGATCTGTGGATCCTGTGAGTTATTGTTTTGACCAACTAAAGATGTTGGGATATGGAGATACCACTTCTTTTCCATCCTGTTTCCTTTTATGAGGAGGAAACTCCATCTGAATCTCTCTCAGCCTCTATCTCTGCAATTCCTTCCCATGCTAGGTGGAATGACTTACCTGTTAGGTGACTTTGGGTTAAGTGCCTGGCATAAGGAGCCCCTCCGCCTTCCTACCTGGCTGCCTGCAGAAGGTAGATTCTGCTGAAAGATATGCAGGAGTAGGCTATACCTCCTAAAGAAGTTATCTGATGGTATAAGGAACCTTTGGTTCTTACTATGGGTGGGAAGTCTATTTAATTTCAGAATTAAAGTTACTGCATCCAATTGTTGTTATATATTTAAGCCATGTCCCCTGTGTTAGTATTTATTACGTATGGGGTCATGTTTGCCTTCCATCTGTGAATTCTTTTCTAATCTAGAACTCAGGCAGAGAGGACAGGGCTAGTTATTGTACCCTATCAAACCCAGAGAGAATAAAATTGCCAGTC